AGGTCCATCTAGCCCACTATCCTGTCTGTTGACAGTGGCCAGCGCCAGGTGCCCCAGAGGGGGTGGACCGAAGACAATGATCAAGCGATTTGTCTCGTGACATCTGTCTCCAGCCTCTGACAAACAGAGGCCAGGGACACCATTTCTACCAATGGCTAATAGCCTTTTATGGACCTAACCTCCATGAATTTATCTAGCTTTAAACTCTGTTATAGTTCTAGCCTTCACAGCCTCCTCTGGCAAGGAGTTCCGCAGGCTGACTATGCGCTGTGTGAAGAAGAACTTTCGCTTATTAGTTTTAAACCTGCTACCCATTAATTTAATTTGGTGTCCTCTAGTTCTTCTATTATGGGAACTAATAACTTTTCTTTATTCACCCTTTATTCACTCATAATTGTATATACCTCTATCATATTCCCCCTCAGTCTCCTCTCTTCTAAACTCAAAAGTCCCAGTTGCTTTAGCCTCTCCTCATATGGGACCTGTTCCAAACCCCTGATCATTTTAGTTGCCCTCTTCTGAACCTTTTCCAAAGCCAAAATATCTTTTTTGAGGTGAGGAGACCACATCTGTACACAGTACTCAAGATGTGGGCATACCATAGTTTTATACAGGGGCAGAAAGATATTCTGTGTCTTATTTTCTATCCCTTTCTTAATAACTCCTAACATTCTATTTGCCTTTTTGACTGCCGCAGCACACATCGTGGACGTTTTCAGAGAACTGTTCACGATATCTCCAAGATCTCTTTCCTGATTTGTCGTAGCCAAATTAGTCCCCATCTTATTATATGTATAGTTTTGGTTATTTTTTCCAATGTGCATTACTTTACACTTATCCACATTAAACTTCATTTGCCATTTTGTTGCCCAATCACTGGGGGTATGTCTACACTACCCTCCTAGTTCGAACTAGGAGGGTAATGTAGGCATACCGCACTTGCAAATGAAGCCCGGGATTTGAATTTCCCGGGCTTCATTTGCATAAGCGGGGCGCCGCCATTTTTAAAACCCCGCTGGTTCGAACATACCGCACTTGAAAATGAAGCCCGGGATTTGAATTTCCCAGACTTCATTTGCATAAACTGGGCGCCGCCATTTTTAAATCCCTGCTTGTTCAAACCCCGTGCTGCGCGGCTACACGCGGCACAAACTAGGTAGTTCGGACTAGAAAGCCTAGTCCGAACTACCTAGTTCGTGCCGCGTGTAGCCGCGAGGCACGGGGTTCGAACGAGCAGGGATTTAAAAATGGCGGCGCCCAGTTTATGCAAATGAAGCCCGGGAAATTCAAATCCCGGGCTTCATTTGCAAGTGCGGTATGCCTACATTACCCCGCTAGTTCGAACTAGCGGGGTAGTGTAGACATACCCAGAGTTTGGTGAGATTTTTTGAAGTTCTTCACAGTCTACTTCTGCTTTGACTATCTTAAACAGTTTAGTATCATCCGCAAACTTTACTACGTCACTGCTTACCCCTTTTTCTAGATAATTTATGAATAAGTTGAATAGGATTGGTCCTAGGACTGACTCTTTGGGGACACTACTGGTTACTCCATTCTGAAAATTTACCATTTATTCCTATCCCTTGGTTTCCTGTCTTTTAACCGGTTCTCAATCCATGAAAGGACCTTCCCTCTTATCTCATGACAATGTAATTTACACATTTATAAATTCTGTGTAAATACAGAAATAGGGTTCTATAGAAAATTACTCTTAATATATGCAGAACTGAACAGAGAATGATATCTTTACTGTAAGATTCTATGGGTGGCATACAAAAAAATCTATGACAAGGTTATCATTCTCTGTTAAATTACAGAGGACTTTCCCGTAAGGAATAGGAGACAAAAATCCCAGATTTAGTTCCTCTTAATTCTATCTGAATGTTGTGAATATGACACTGAGTAATGAGGAATTTAAGAACATATTAGGCAATGTTCATATTGCATTAGAGGCTTTCACATTCACATTAAATTTTTTTACTAATCTGCCAGAAAAATCTCCAATATAATAAGTATTTAGGGCTGACAAGCATCCGGTTTTGAACCAGACAGTCCGGTATTTGAGCTTTCGGTCTGAGAAACTTCTAGGTAAGTAAGTTTTATTATTATCATGAGTTGCATGAGCCAGGCAGTCTGCAACTATGCAGTGGGTGGGGAGGAGGGGGCGAGGCGGAATGGAATCCCCGGGACCAGACTTGCCCGTGCACTCTGCTGGAACTGTGCGTACCCCAGGAACTGCGTGAGCCTGGGCCAGCCCTGCTTCCCACCAGACGGTTCGCCCCCATTCCCCTCCCAGCCATCTCTGCTCCCCCCAACCTCCTCCTGGCCAGCCCTGCTCCCTCCAACCCCCTCCCAACCAGCCCTGTTTCCTGCCAGCTGGTTCCTTCCTCTGATCTCCCCCTCCCAGCCCTGCTCCCCTCAACTACCTCTCAGCCAGCCCTACTCCCCGCTGGCCAGTTCCCCCCCGCTCTTGGCCAGCCCCGCTCCCACCCAACCCAATCCTGGCCAGCCCTGCTTCCCACCAGCCGTCCCCCCCCGCCCAATCTCCCCTGGCTAGTCCCGCTCCCCATCTGAGATCAAGTGTGTCCGGTATTTTTTTGAAATCATCTGGTAACCCTATAAGTACTTCTATATCAAAATTTAGGTCATAGTAAGAAAAAGCAAATATTTACGGTAGCTATTAATCCAGCTGCCAGTTAATTATACCCAATATGAAAATCACCCTTTTGCAGTCACTGCTTGCACATAATTCATGAAAATGAGAAGACACAATTTTATGAATTGATATTTTTTCACATTCACATCTGTTTACAGGTAGGAAATTAAGCATCTTATGCTGCAAGGGATGTCCCTGCTCTGTAGGTGCACCTCCATGCCACTGCTTAGGTTGAAAAGATGGAGTGGGAGGGGACGGGAAATATAAACAAAGCCCTCCTTTACCTATGTTCCATTGCTCTCTGGTCACCACCCACAATGACTGCTCCCGCCCTCAGCCTCCCTTTGCAGTTTTTCTTTTCCCCTAAAGCAGCCACCATACACTCCTCTCCTATCTGGTCCCAGCAGAGACTCTGGTAGAACAGGCGCTGAACTATTGCTTGGATATCACTTTGCTCTGTGTGAGCTCTGACTGGTATGCTCCTCTTGGAAACTTGTCTCAATATTACTCCCCTCCATGATCAAAGAGAACCCCAAATCTCTCTGCCTTGGTCTCTGGGGGGGTGGGGAGGTGGGAGGAAATTTGCACCTATGCAGGGGGGAGTGGTGAGCAAGTCTGAATGATGTGGTACACTTGGAGGGAGCAGATAGGGTATAGTATATGACATGAATGCCCGTGAAAGAAAAAGCAAAGGAGGCACTGATAGGGAAGGAGAGCAAGAAAGGCAGAGAGATTGGGAAAGAAACAAAACCTGGGAAAGATGGAAATATATAAAGGAAATTTTTCCCAGAGGCCAATAGGAAGACAAAAAAAGGAAGATTCACCAAGAAAAAGCTGGAGGAAAAGGGAGAAGAGGGGGACTCCCAGAGAGGCCCGTGGGGAGGGGCAGTAGGTGGGGCTCCCGGAGGGGCCATGGGGAGGGGTAGTATGGGGTGTGTGCCGGGAACTCGGGGTCCCCCCCACCCCGATCCTGATGGAGAAGTGGGGGAGGGGAGAAGTGTGAACACAAAATGCCTCAGGTCAGCTTGACAGTAACTGCTAACTGAAACTTTTTGCTAATATAGACCGTTACTCCACAGTAAGAAGGTGTCGTGCTGCAGTGCTCAATAACAATTACTGACACCATCAAATGGGGCATCCATCTTCCAAAAGTCATGAATCATTGTGCCCATGATGGAGAAGTGGGGGAGGGGAGAAGTGTGAACACAAAATGCCTCAGGTCAGCTTGACAGTAACTGCTAACTGAAACTTTTTGCTAATATAGACCGTTACTCCACAGTAAGAAGGTGTCGTGCTGCAGTGCTCAATAACAATTACTGACACCATCAAATGGGGCATCCATCTTCCAAAAGTCATGAATCATTGTGCCCATGAAACTTCTATACTATTCTCTAAGTCTGAATAGTGTTTTAAGGTAATTAGGACAATAAACTACATATATTTGAATAAGAATTAATTGCATCCCCTGCCATGTGCTGTCTCTCGTTGTCAGTGAACAAAGATTTTTTTTAAAACATTCCAGAACATCCTACTGAAGACAATAGGAAGTTTGCCTGAAAAAGGTCTTCAGAATTTATCTTTTCATTTTAGCTCTTAAGCACTTCCAATAGAAACAAACTGAAATTAAAAGAAATGCTAAAAAAAAAAAAGCAACTATGTCTGAACCTGTTTAAGATTGGTCATATAGGGCCTGTCCAGCATAGGAATTCCTAAGGATAACAAATTAATTACTTTCTGTAGCCATGGCTGACCCAAAATTGTAATGTTCTTCTTGCATATAAATGGCAAAAATAAAAACAAGAATATATATTTAAAACGAGCCTGTTTACATATACCTAGTTTACAACGAGAGAGGAGAATCAGGCAAGATAACTGATAAAATATTGATTATTTATTTAAATATTTTTACCCCGCCTTTCTATTTAAAATATTCAAAGCGGCTTACAAAAAAAAAAATACAAATATATATAAAAATTTAAAATATGAGACCCCAGAGAGTCATAACCAGCTAAAAATATAGAGAGAGGAGGAACACACATATACAAACTCAAATATTAATAAAAGCACGAATAAAAAGGGTGGCTTTAGCCTGACGCCAAAACAACACTAGCGTTGTCGCCATGCGAATAGCCCAAGGAAGAGAATTCGACAGCCTGGGAGCAAAAGCTAATAATGCCCTTTTCCGCATAAATGTTAATTTTATCTCCACAAGTGGGGGAACACGAAGCAAAGCCTCCCCAGCTGACCTCAATCCCTGGGCAGGTTCATATAAGAGATAACAGTTTTTTAACAGTATGATAGATAACAAAGGATGCTTTCAAGTGACTAAAAATCAAACTCATACCTTGCAGGCTAACTTTGGAGACTGGTGGCTGACTTGTTGCTGGAGACCTCCTGTGGAGGAATGAAGAATAAAACATTTATACAGTATCATCATTAAAAACAATGCAGTTTGCCTACTCTTTTAATGCAAAATACCTTTCATGCTCACAAAAATCCCAAACCACTCCAAAGTGAAATTAGTGGTTGGTGAACAATTTGAAATCTTCAGAGGGGTAGTGGAGTTAGTTTGTAACAGGAAAAATTTAAAAAACAACAAATAGTCTAGTAGCACCTTAAAGACTAACAAAACATCCACGCATCTCATGCCTTTTGGCTGCACATACATAACATATGAAAAGAACATACACCAGTCAGCTACAAAAAGATCAGTACCATCATCCTGTTAACTAAGAAATGTCCTGAATGTTAGCAAATTGGGGGGAGTCTCTCAACCAAATGAGGGTTATCGAACTCCTGAATAAAGGGTTGTCTCCCTGGAAATGCAAGCATTATATGGTTTTAAAGATCACTTTCCACACCTGAAACTTCACCTGGACGCAAATAAGGAGACAGTGCTCCTAGCAGAATGCACGCCCTGAAGCTAAAAACAGAAGTGAACTAGTTCATTCAGCTACAGTTGTAAGCTTCACACTCCCCAAGTACTAGGACACTTTACTGTAAGCCAATCTGCAGGTCACAATGATCTAGGCATCTCTGGAGGTCATGAAAAGCTAGATGACCTGGCAAGGTTTACATTAGAGCAAAATGGTGTAATCTTTTTCCAAAGCATATGTGGAAAAAGCCAGTTTTAGCCAATGTCACTGTGATGCTGCAGCCCATATTCTTCACAAGGATATTATATGTGATGATATGATTATGGCACAATTATGATGCATTTTGTACAAAACAGGCACGTGCAGTGCCAGTAGAAAAGTGCCAATTTACTGAACATGACTGTTCAGTCATTATTTGTCCTGTGGTGCCTTAAAGACTAACAGATTTATTTGGGCATGAGGTTTGGAGGGCAAAGGCCCACTTTGTCAGTTGCAGATACAGACTAACATGGCTAACCCTCTGAGACTTACCCTATTTAGAGGCATGTATCATTTTTGTATCTGAGGTAATCAATACTGGCTCTGTATCTGCACCTGGGTAACGCCCACTAGACAAGATGTTTTCAGGCCAGACAGTGGGTGGGGAAGAGCCTATTCAGGGCAATGGGCCATTAGGAAAAACAATAGGCCTTAGCCTATCCCAAGTTCAGTGAGCTTTCCTGAGGTCACTCCAGAGAGCCTGTAAGCCAGTGGTCTCCAACCTTTTTAAGCATGAGATCACTATGGCTGTGTCTACACTGGCATGAATTTCTGGAAATGCTTAAAACAGAATAGTTTTCGTTATAAGTATTTCCGGAAAAAGAGCGTCTACACTGGCAGGCTGCTTTTCCGGAAAAGCCCCTTTTCCGGAAAAGCGTCCGTGGCCAATGTAGACGCGCTTTTCCGGAAAAGAGCCCCGATTGCCATTTCTGCGATCGGGGTTTTTTTCCGGAAAAGACTACTGGGCTGTCTACACTGGCCCTTTTCCGGAACAGTGTTCCGGAATAAGGACTTATGCCCGAGCAGGAGCAGAATAGTTTTTCCAGAATAGCGGCTGATTTTGTACAGTTCAACATCTATGCTTTTCCGGAAATTCAAGGGCCAGTGTAGACAGCTTGCAGCTTATTCCGGAATAGCGGCTGATTTTCCGAAATAAGTGGCCCAGTGTAGACACAGCCTATTTGAATTTAAGTCAATCTGGGATCTACCTCAGACCCAAATACCCTCATCCCATCTCCTTTGCCACCCTTTCTTCAAGGCCAGGACCCACCTTTCCCCTTCTTCAAGGCTCTGTCCTGCTCACTCTGGTGCAGATGGGGTACAGGGGTAAGAAGAGGGGGCCACCCTGACATTAATGGCCCCCTTTTTCTGCCTCCCCACCCTGCACAGCAAGCAGGAGGCTCCAAGGCAGAGGGCAGGAGCAGCACGGCAGTGTGTGTGTGTGTGTGGGGGGGGGGAGCAGGGGAGAGGAACAGCTAAAGTGCTGGTGTAACCGCCACTGGGGACTTAGCATAGGAGCCTCTACCACTTGAGCTAAAAGCTCTCAACCTGGGCTATGGAGGTCTCTTGTTCTTTTCTGTTGCTATAAGTGGTCTAAGTGCCACTACATAGAACAGTGAACCACACTAGGTGTGTGGGTTACACTAGTACTTGATACCCTCCCAGCCAAACCACTCAGGATCCTCTGTTAGAGGCTCCAAGATCTACCAGTAGATCCTGATCTACTGGTTGGTGACCACTGCTATAAGCTGTGACCACTATGACTCCACAAGGATGTATGAGCAGACCACATGTTTGACTCCACCTTGGGATGTCAGTGTTTTTCCACAAACTGGTCTGGGAACCTAGTTTTGAAAACAAAGGGTTCCTGCCATATGCTAAAGCTATATAAAACAAGCAGTGACATCATCTGCTGTTCTTCACTTCCCACACAAGAACACTCCTGGAAACAACTGAGGGACAAAGACTGAATTAATGGGATTTCTAACCTGTGCATGAAGACCTGAGAAACGTAAGCTCTAAAGCTAATGCAGTTTGTGCCTTAAAATCAGCTAGTTTGTATCCAATCTATCTAGTATACCAAGATTAGTTTGTGGTTTTGTTTATTTGCTAAGTAATTTCCTTTGATCTGTTTACTGTCCCTTATAATCACTTAAAGTCTATCTTTTGTGGTTAATACACTTGTTTTTGTTTTAATATACATCAGTGATCATTGACTGGAGTGCTTGGGGGGCAGGGGTGGGGTAAGGGTGGAATCTCTGTGTGGTTACCACAAGTGCACATTATTCTCTTCACACTAAGGGAGACCAGGAATTAAAACCATATCCTGGCCAGATCTGGCCAGGGCAGAATAGTACTGGTCTGGGGTGCTAGGCTGGGAAGATGGTAGATAGAGAATCTGGCTGTGTCTACACTGGGCCACTTATACCGGAAAAGCAGCTGCTTTTCCGGAATAAGCTGCGAGCTGTCTACACTGGCCCCTTGAATTTCCGGAAAAGCAGTGACGATTTACTGTAAGAAATCAGCTGCTTTTCCGGAAAACTGTTCCGGAAAAGGGCCAGTGTAGACAGCACAGTAGTCTTTTCCGCAAAAAAGCCCCGATCTCGAAAATGACGATCGGGACTTTTTTCCGGAAAAGCGCGTCTACATTGGCCACGGACGTTTTTCCGGAAAAAGGGCTTTTCCGGAAAAGCATCCTGCCAATGTAGATGCTTTTTTTCCGGAAATACTTATAACGGAAAACTGTTCCGTTTTAAGCATTTCCGGAAAAAGGTGCCAGTGTAGACACAGCCTCTGTGTGTAGATACAGCTGGGAGTGTCTGAACGCTGGTGAAAGTGCAGATATGCAGCATGGCACAGCAGTACAGTATGAAAGGGAGCCCCTGTTGGTGGGTCAGAAGGCTCAGTGTTATCCCAGTTCTAGGTGACACAACCTTTAGATGTATCTACTATACCAGAGGCACGGAAAGGCCAAAGTAGTCCCTTTAGAATTTCTGGAAGGGATCAGCATCCATAAACAGAGTCAAATTTATTCTGCAACTAGATTCTCAGAAGAGTTCAGTGGGGGGGGGGGGGAAAAATGAGATTCACTTGAAAATCTGGCCCCAAATCATAACTCTGTTTGAAAAGAGGTCAATTCTTGTTAGTTCAGGGGACAGGCATCATCCCTGCAAAACCCTCATAATTCTGCTTCCCCAAGCAACCAGTGCAACTCCATGTTATTTTCCCCTTGGCCTCTGTCTCAGCCAGGTGGTAGAAAGGCAAACCACCTCAGACTGATGAAAAAAGAGACTCACAGCTCTATAACAACAACTCATTACAGATACAAAATGCAAGGTTATCCCCAAAATTGCACAAGCCTGGTGCTTTTTCCTCTTAGCCAAAGGATATTTCGAAGGGGAGGAGCAGGGTCTGGATGCATTCTGTCTATGCCCCATTCTGTGCAGTTGTTTGGAATCCCAGGTCCTGGGACGTGAACACACATAGCTATCAATTTGGAATGCTTGATGTCCAAGGTTTTAAGCCAGTAATTCTCAAACTGGGAGTTGTGACATGTCTTGGTGTCATGAGGTTATTACATGGGGGGTTGTGAGCTGTCAGCCTCCATCCCCAAACTCCGATTCATCTCCAGCATTTATAATAGCGTTAAATATTTTTAAAAGTTTTAATTTATAAAGGGGCTTGCACTCATGCTTGTTGTGAGCAGGCCCATTGATGTGGGGAGGGCAGCAGCAGCGACAGGCCCTTTAAATTGCTGACAGAGTACCACATTGTGTGCTCCAGACAACTCATAGGTTTGGGAGGGGATGCAGCCAGCTGGGTGGTATTGAGAGCTGGCTGCGCCAGCCCCCCTCTTTCCACCTGGGGCCGCACCTCTTCTAGGAGCATGGAGTGAGTCCCCCCACACACTTTGCCCAGGGACCTGTGGAGGATGGCAGCTCCCCTGGCTATGTGCAAGGGTTCACCAACACCAAAGCACAAGAACAACTGTTTTAAGCTAATGAGCTCTATTTTAGCTGTGCAAATGATAATTTTGCATCATTTATACCTCAGTCCAATCTGGAATTATCTTCACAAGAACAAGGAAAGATGCCTCTCTGATTTCAAGGCTGCCACTTCTGCCAAAACTATAGATTGCTACTCCAAACTTGAGTAGCTGGTCTGAAGCCTTTTTTTAAAACCTAACTAGAACTATGAATTTTTAACTATTCTCCATCTTGAAAATGGCTGAATTGTTTTTAGAGAAAAACTTTTTAAAAAATTAAAGGAGCAGGGTGTGCGCAGAGTGTGCAGGGTGGGGTTGTGCGCAGAGTGTGCAGGGTGGGGTTGTGCGCAGAGTGTGCAGGGTGGGGTTGTGCGCACGGTGTGCGTGGTGAGGCTGTGTGCATGGGCAGGGTGTGTGTGGTTGTGCTGTAGGCAGGGGTAGGGTGTGTGTGATGGCGCTGTACGCAGGGGCAATGGGTGTGTGTGGTGGCGCTGTGCGCCGGGGCAGAATGTGTGCTAGCACTGATGGTGCTGCACGTAGGAGCAGGGGGCATGTGGGGACAAGGGCCATCATGGGGAGCTGGAGCTGGCTCCTGGCTACGGGGGTCTCTGTGCCCTATGAGCCAGGCTGGTGTCAGTAGCTTGAAGTGGAAGGCCTAGATCCCCAACCTCTCCTGGTGGTGGCTCCCAGCACGTGGTCACAGGCAGGAGCTGAGCAATGTGGAACTGGGGTGGGGGCTGAGCTTCTAATGCTCTGGAACACTCGGGGCTGGGCAGGAAGGCTACCAACCTACGTCGCCTTGTGGCGGGCCTTTCCCCTCCTCCTTTTCATCACTGCTGACGCGCCGCTGCCTATTAACCATTCATCAGCTGGAGAGCAGCAATCGGTGCCACTGGGCTCGGTGGAAGCAGTCTTCTCCCCCCCATGCCAGCCTCAGCATCCCACACAGGATGCCGAACTGGGCAGGTGGCCATTGTCTGCTGCTCTGAGCCTGGGGCGGGGGGAAGGGCTGGGCTGAGGATGCTCCCATTAGCTAGATTCTGCACATTGCCCTTTCCCTTCCGCCCGCTGGGACTTCCTGGAGGCTTCCCCTTTGCTCCCATTGGTCAGATTCTGTCCCAGCGGGGGGAAGGAAAAGGGCAGTACATGGTGCCATTTCTGGCTCGCTTCTTCCCCACAAAGGAAAGCCTTGGGGCTTTCTCCCGCCCCCTCTTCCCCACCAAAATATTGAAATTTCTTGGACATTTCACTACTTTATGGGTACACCAGGGCAGGAGATTTAAAATTGGGACTGTCCCAGACATCTAGTCAGTGTAGGTGTACCCCCAAAGTATTGTAAAACCTGGCAGACTGGTTCCTTCAGGATACAACTGTTCTCCCTTAGGATGGTATTCGGTGACTAACTGTGTTCTGCTGCTCAGAGGCCAGCAGAGACATCCCTATGGGTGTTGGGGAAGGAGGCAGCATGGCGTCCCTTCCTCTCTGCTGCTGCCTGCCTGGCTCCTGTGTGGAGCCCAAACCTGAACAGCTTGCATGTGGAGGACTCTGCAGGCCTAGGAGTGTGGGTAGCTGGGAGGCTGGCTGCTGGCCCATACATTCACCAGAGCCTGGGGCCAGTCGCAGCTGGGAGTCAAACCACATATAATGTCTTTTGTTTGGTGAAAAAATTTCCTCGGGACCTAAACCTACCTGCCCATTTAAACCAATTCTTATGGGGAAATTGGATTTGCTTAATATCATTTCACTTAAAGTCACATTTTTCAGGAACATGCTATCATGTCAAGTGAGGAGTTACAGTCCATGCAACTGAAAGCAGGATACTTGTGTCAGAAAACATCAGGAAACCTAAATAGATGTTACCTAAAACAGGCAATTTCTGGGTCAAACTTCCCAGGACCTACCAGACAGTACCTTTCAGCTATACCCCTGGCTAACCCAGAAGTGATATTAATGGTGACTTCATATTAAGTGTCTCTTTCAAAGCAGAATACAAGAACAAATGATCACTATATATAATAAATACACAGAAAGAGAGAGGTAGAGAGAGAGAGAGTGCTAAGCAAGATGGAAAAGGGGGACAAGGTGGTTAAAGAACATTTTGCTTGATTCCAATGCTTTCTACGCCACATCAGAAAAACAAATCTTACCACAAAAGTTAACATACGTGCTTTTGATTTACTTGTAAATATATATTTTATCTGATATTATATATCATTTTCAGTCAGACACTATTAAAATTGCCTCTCTGGGTGTGTGTGTGCGTGCACACGCGCAGTTTCTTTAATAAATAACTGAAAATGACACTGGTTGGTACAATAGATTAGTCAAATGTGACTAATGGGTCTGGTTTGAAACAACATACTGCACTTCCAATAAACGGCTGTGAAATCCAGTGTGTCAAACAGGGTGATAAGATAACTCATCTTTTTAAAATGATAGTTAATAGGATGTTTATTTCTTCCTCCCCTCCAAGTTAAACATTTGTTTCTGTTTATCATTGTCTTGATTATGAGGGTTAGCCAGCAGCCTGAGGATTAAGGGGTTAACTACACCTAGCCAGGTGGAGTGGCCAGTAGGAATGTAGGTGGGACTTTCAAACTGGGACAAAGGAATTTGGGTTTTTTCCCTTTCTCCTTTTGTCTCTCTGGGAGTGTTCTCTGCAGCTACAGAGAGGGACAAGCATGTCTCTCTCCAAGACACCAGTCCTCATTTTCTGTAAGTAGGGTAAAGTTTAGGTAGTTTCGTTAGGCTTTATTGTTTTCAGGGTTGGGTATGGGATCTGATATCTGGCACTGTTTAAAAGATGTTTTGGCTTTTCTTTGTAACTAAGTTCTAGGCCCATGGAGTGTCTCCATGAGTATATTTTGTTACCTTCCTATCTAGTCATTATGCCTGCACAGGAATATTGTTGTAATAATAAAAGTTCTTTCTTTTCTTTTTATTAACCTGGCATTGGTTACTTGTGTCCTGATTTTTATTTTAGGGGTGAGATTTCCCAAATGATCCTTCCCCTGATTTCTTTATCAATATTTGGGTGGTGGCAGCGGAAGTTTTATTCCCAAGATCTAGATTTTTAAGATTTTGGGGGAAGTTTTATACCAAAGCCTGGTAGATAAGGCTTTGGGGTACAGTGCTAGCCCCCACTTTTGCATTTATCATGCCAGAGTGGGGAAGGAGCCAGAGTGGGGGCCAGCACTGTACGCTGGTGCTCTCTGCTGCTGCTTCTGGAAACTGCAGGCTGCAGCTTAAAAAAAAAAAGGCTCTGATACCTTTCTAGGTTCAGCACAGGATTATGGTCTCTCCTGTCTCCTTCCTGGGAACTACTCTGTCTTCAGCCACTCTGTACCCTCACTCCATCCTGACTAAAGAGCAGCAGTACCTGAGTTTTCTACCTTCCCCCTACTACCCTACTGGAAGTCAGTATGGTTTGGGCTGCTCTGCCCCTGAATCCCTTCTTCTCCCTCTTCAAATAGCAGTGGGTCCTGGGCTGCTTTGTTCCAAGGCTGTTCCCTTCACACTCACAAAAGGACCATCAATTTTAGCTGCTCCATTCCCTGGCCCCCTTCAGCTCACTCACCGGGTTCTAATTCCTTCTCTCCCTGAGAGCCAGGGCATTGTTTTCAGATGAGGAGAGGCAGTGATGGCAGAGGCAAGTTGGAGAAATGAGAAGAAATGAAAATAAAAGAGAAGGAGCTATGCAATCTGCAGAACTTGTGAAGAAGGAATGGCCAAGGATGGGACACAAGGTTTCCAAAGAGGGGCAAGGTTTCCAAAGGTGCTGATTAGTTTTCTATTTGCATTCCAACTTCAGAGACTTCTGCTGACCAGATAGGAAATCTCTTTTTGTTTTCCATTAATTATAATCACATTTTCTGGTTTTCACATACCAATATTCATATACATTCAATACTAGGAAATGTAAATGCCAGAATAAAATATATGCCCAAATGTATTGCTAGTAATTTTCTTATCCTGAGATTTATATTGTCCAACTTTTTTTGAAATAAATTACAGACAATTTTGTCATCTAGTTGGTAAGTTTTGAATTATCATACAATGAGCTAACGGGTAATTTTCTAAATGTTAGAACATACTCATGCCTCTGCATTAGATACTCTCACAACATTAACAGCAGTAATTATGTTTATTACAGTAATGCTTGGGGCCCAACCACGAATGTGGGTCCCCTGCAGCAGGCAAACACAGAGTAGTAGACCGTCCCAAACCAAAAAGCTTATGGTCTAAATATGAATACATTTCTTGAAGTTCATCCTATGGACAAAACTACAGGTGTATTTCTTAGCAGGTGGAAGATTGTGCCTGAAAAAATCAAAGGTGGATTGAATTCAGAATAAAAATCTACTTTAATAGCAATTTAATGAAAAGCAGAAAGCTTACTTGTTTGATGTTCCATGCAAATTTGTCAATAACGTAAAGTTATTCCTCACACTCCGTAAACTTGCCAAGACCTAAAATAAACAAAATCATATAATATTTTAAATTATTTTTTACAAACATGCATATTTCAATATATTATGTTAACATAGGAGCATATATGCTGAAGGATAACTTTCTATTCCATTCAATTTATCTACGATATAACAATATAAACAGACTATTTGAAACTAACCTGTGCAAAAGGTGTAACAATCAAGTCATCTCCATGTCTGCAATAAATGAAAAAAATATGTGAATTGCACATGATCAGAGAATAATCATCAGTTTTTTAATACAGTAGACACATAATTCATCAAATTGTCTGGTGTAAACATTCTGCACAGAATGTAATCGTTAATGTACAGCCACACCAAGTACTATGGTAGCTTTTTATTTTGTGCTTCAACTTTTGCTTGCTAGCAAATGGATGTATCTGCTTAAATGGGTGAGTACCCAGTTAGTGCACACAAACACAGTATGTGCATATTCAAATTGAAAAGCTAGGTGCTCAGCTACATGACTTGTATAAGCAAAACACAAGGCTGGAACTAAAAATTGGCATCTTAATATTTATGAGCAATTATAAATATTTATATAAAAATCAGTTTAATTTCAAATTGAAAAAAAGAACATTTTGCAATGGAATGTTTTTTCACAGAGCCCCACTATTCAAAAATAAATCTTTATTGCACATACTGTTTCTTTAAATTACATAAAAGGTTGCTCCTAATGGAAAGGTCTCCTAGTCACAATGCATGTTCATAGACAAAAAACAACCAAAGCTGGAACAACTGCTTAGTTTTGGTAACACAAGGCAATAAATGCCAGGAAATTCAAGGTTAAGGTGGCTCACTCATACTGTGATGGAAAAAAAAGCACAACAGTCTGAGTAAAGGTCAACTTTGAATTTCCTGGCTTTTGTTGATTTGTGTAACAGCCGTTAATGTTATTTAAACATTGTCTCTTGTCGGTGGATTTTCATCATGGAAGATTAGAGACTATGTTCTGTGCAAAACGTTTTACTACTTTTGGAGGAGGGGCTGGTAAATATTATATATTAGTGTTTATAATCAACTCAACATGTAGTGAGCATTTTATCCAGTTGAGTACATATCATACCAAGCTTTTTATAGTACTAATATTTTAGTATGCAGATATGTACTGATTGACCTTAGCTACAACAACAAATTCATTTGCTTCAGCAGATAATTATATTTTTATCAAATGTTGAAACATATTATTAGCTTACAATATATTATTTATATAATTTAGAACTTTGTTACAGTCTCTTATGTAAATATTTGCTAAATGCTAATTATTGTTACAGATTTTTTTTCTTAGAATAGCTGGACCATCTTGTTAACTCTCAGAGTTGTATTTCACTATGCAATATTTATAATTCATATATTCTATTTAACTTTTTTTTAGAGAAAGAAGATTTTAAACTTAAAGGAGAATAAGTGCTGTTCTTAATGTGTAAATTTATTTGCACTCACAGTAAGAGCCCTACGCTGACATTCTGGATTTATACATGTCCCTGATAACATCACATATATCCAATGTTCTTATTTTCTGAGGTCATTTATACATAACTTCCTGTGTACATTAATACCATTATTTAGGACTGTATAGGGTATAATTCTGCTCTAAAACAGGTAATCGTTTTAATTTTTAGAAATTAAATACAGACCTAATCCCTTTAATTTTTAAACCTTTGTGTCTAAAGTTGATACAGTCCCTCTACTAGTAATTACTGTGGTATTCCATGACGCCATTAAGAAATACAAAAATCCTATAAAGCTTCCATTATATTCTATAGAAGTCAGAAAGATCCTTCACACTCATGGTCAGCAGATCCAACGTGGACATCAATAACCACCATTGGGTGCACGTGTAAGTGATCCATGAAACGAGTTCATGGTCTTAAACAAGAGTTCTGATCATAAAACCTGTCCTCACAGTTGGCACTAATTGGTATAGCTTTGATAGTCTGTTATGAGACATGAAGAATGAACATGTCTTGGGAACATGACCAGAACTGTATGGGGAAACTGGGACTGCAGCAGTCTCTTGCTGTATCTGATCTATAGAAAGAATCTTCGGTTTCTGGCCCCTTTCCCCAGAATGAAATTCACTTTAAAAATTACCTCAACTTTTCCTCTCCTTTGTGTAACACTATAAACTGCGGTGCTTTTGCTCAATAAGAGGCATTCAGTTGCTGGAATATAAATATTGGCACAGAGGGTTGGTTTTATGCCTCCATTTAAAAGCATGGAAAGGTGTGTTTAATGAGGCCAGTTTCACCACTCAGATGTGGTCTCTTACAAAGCCACCAAGAAAAAGGCAGTAGAAAAATGTTAACTAAAGGACTGCAAATCAAAAAACCTGCTTAATCTACATGCCATATTTTGTTCCAGTCCTGTCTGTCCATCCGTCTATATGCATTGTCTAACCTGGTCTTCGTTATATGCTGTGAATATAATACAGTGAATAACCAAAATATCACATAAAAACACAATATATTTGAACTATAAGGTACACGATTTAGGCAATTTGGCTGACAATAACAATGAATCTCAACTATTAAAAAAAGAACCAATGTTCATACAAATAATATGTAAGGACTCTACAATGACAATGCTATTTCAGAACACTGATTTATGCTGTTCTTCTACTGGGTGAGAAGCAGCCCTGCTGACGGGAGGACAAAAGAGGCAACTGCCCCGGGGCCCAGCAATTAAAAAGGACCTGGGGCTCCTGGCCACTGCCATTACTGTGGCAGTGATGGAGGCCAAAACCCCAGGCCCTTTTAATCGCTGCTGGGGAGCCGCAATACATTCCAGGCAGCTCTGAAGGCTTGGGGCAGGGCAGCTGAGGGCTGCTTGCCCCACCCCGTCCCTTCTGCCCGAGGGCCTGTCTCTTCTGGGAGCACAAAGCTGCTCCCCCCACTTCACCCAGGGGCCCCATCAAGGCAGTCAGCTACTCTGGTGAGAAGCATACGTTTAATAAACAAAAACACTGAGCCTTGAGAGTACATAACTGAGCATTATGAAATCCTGATTTGGCCTGGGTTGTGAAATAAAAACCACTTTACCTCAGATTCACCCTCTATAAAATACATTGCTACGTTTCAGGGTATTAGTAGGATTACATAATGTTTGTAAAGCGCCTGGTCACGATATTATGATGAATGATGTAAATAAGAGTCATACTCACTGCTCACTTGGAAGGGAGGAGTTCCTAGACATAGTCTTTGGTGATAAGTCATAGTCACTGTCTGATCTGTAGAGAAAGGACTCCCGACGCTGACTGTGGCCTGGAAACGTGGTATGCAATACAAGTCCTGAAGAAGAGCTGGCCTGGGGGTCCAACGGGCTGCGACCTGGTGATGGGCCATTTTCCACATCAAAGCTATGAACAAAAAACCATATTGTTTCATGCACAGTTGCTGATATGTATTTTCAGAATCTAGCATAAAACTCTTTAAATTACCCTTTTATGATGCAATGTGTTCAAATAGTGGAGGCAGAGGTTTGAATTTATTTTGGGGTTTTCACTAGGGGCAAGGTCTGCCTTCTCCTGAACAGATGTATTAAAGAACGGCAGAGGCACAGGAATAGACTCTGCCTGCATTAGGCAAATGCCTCTTGGACTCTCTGAATGACTGCTACTGGTCCAGCCCCACCAGTTTCATGCACAAATACACTTTTGGTGATAAAGGACAGGATTTTGCCTTAAGTTAGCATATTTATTGTAAGTCTTAGAGGGGTAGCCATGTTAGTCTATGGCTGCACAATCAACGAGGAGTCCTCAGGCACTTTAAACACTAAGGATACGTCTGCAACATGATTCCGAAATAACTTGCTCTATTCTGAAATAACTTAGTCTGCGTCTACGCAGCAGGCAGTTATTTCAAAATAGTGTCAAAATACTGACAAGCTAGAGGACTTCTTATTCCGACTCCTGTAACCCTCATTGTACGAGGAATAAGGGAAGTCAGAGGATGAGTGCTCTGTTTCAAAATAAGTGCTGTGAAGACGCTCCCTATTTCAAAATAAGCTATTTCAAAATAAGATATACAATTGATGTAGCTCAATTTGCATAGCTTATTTCAAGTTAAGCCCTGCAGTATAGACGCCCCTATAGTCTTTAATGTGCCTCAGGACTTCTCGTTTTTGGAGATACTGACTAACATGGCTATTCCTCTGATACATACCCACAAATAGGAGAAGTATCATTTTTGTATCTGAAGTTATCAATATTGGCCTTGTATCTGTGCTCAAAATGTAGCTGCAGCTGGGTAATGCCCACTTTGAAGTGGGTCTTTTCCCACGAAAGCTCATTCCCAAATAAATGTTAGCTTTTAAGGTGCCACAGAATTCCTCAATATTTATCTTAAAAGTTCCTTCCCACACGATACATATTTTCTCTTCCTCTGGTCTGAACTTTGCTGAGCTCAGCATACCATGTAATCCACTCAGCACACACACATTCCTGCAAGGTTCTCCATGGTTTTCCTTAACCCTCTCTCCAGGATTACACTTGTGATACAGATCAACTCCCTTTTCCTAACCTCACTCCGATGAGCCGCAGTGATGAGCCTCACAGTGTTAACATGGACTAATGTAGATGAAATGCCCTCGACCCAGTCGGCATGCTTGAATAGCATTACTAAACAAGCCAGCCCAGACACACATTTAATAGCTGTGTCTAGCATGAGATATGAGCCAACAGCTTTTAAGGCTTAACACAGATGCACATAAAATACTTGACTTCAAAATGATCAAAGTTTACTGTTAGGGAATATGTACCAAAGCATGAAGTAGCTAAATACTAATCCTATCCTAGTCATCTGAAGGGTACAAATACAGTGAAGGACTTGAAGAACTACACTATCCATACGAAATATAATAATTCCCTTTAGAATCCAGCAGCTCACACCGCAGCCAACCATTGACATCAATCAAAGTTACATCCTTGGGCCCATCTTCGGGGAAGTGGGGCAAAGGGAGCAGTTGCCTTGGGGGTGCGAAGATTCAAAAGAGCATGGGACTCTCAGCTGCCACCAGAGCCCCAGACCTTTAAACACCACTGGAGCCCTGCGTGACATACTTCAGTGCTTTGGGTGGCTCCCCGGGGAGGCGCGAGTGTGTGTGGCATATTCTGAGCAGTGCTGAGGGCTGGCTGGCCCCAGCTCTGTCCTTCTACCAGAGACCCTGAACCTTCTGGGACTGCGGAGCTGGCTCCCCTGCACCTTGTCCCTGGGACCTGGTGAGTCTATCGGCCTCCCTGTACATTCTCAATAATTCCAGAAGTCAGGTCACTTATTTAGGTGCCTCATTTCAGGCAACCAAGTTTGAAGATTTTAGCCTATACTTTCAAATACATTTCACAGCTGAACCATTCATTGTGAGAAATGCATCTTTAGCTCACCCATTTTCAAAATGCTAGGTGGAGCAAAAGGGAGTTTTTAAAAAAAACAACCTTCCATCACCATTTCCATTATACACCCATTTTTGAACGGTTTAGAACTTGGCTGTTGCAGCATGTGGTTGAAGTCATTTTGGGAATTTTAGTAAGAGACACCCCTCATCAACTCCCAAAATAAGCAGGTTGGCCTGTTTTGTTTGGGTTTTAGGAACCTGTCTGAAATACCATATGTGCTGTAATATCCAAGCAAAATCAGAATGAATTAAGGATAAATTCAGTCTGTATTTTCTTGGGGTTTTTTTCGGTTTATATTAAACTCTGACTGTTATTATACATGACAGGGTTAAATTGCATTCCCTCTCCATGCAAATTGTTCCATTGAAATCAATGGCTGTAACTATGACTTGAGATAGAGTAACTTTACTGATTTGTTAATGGAGATGTCAGTTTTAGGTCTATATTTTTATTTATTTTCAGTGTTTCTTTTGGCTATTTTAGTGTCCTGCAACTTTTTACATCATTCTTTTCTAAAGGTTTACTTACATCGTGATTACAGAAATCAGAGTAGACGCCAGTTGTCCCATGTGCAATGAAATAAACACAAACTTTAAAATAAATATTTATAAAACCTTTGTGGCACTATCTAATTTCTTGTTTGTAAGCCAAGAAAGCTCAAGTGCTCTCCACATGGCTGCTATGTACAACTGAAACAGAACTCATGGGCTATGTCTAGACTGCAGGCTTCTTTCGAAAGAGGCTCTTTCGAAAGATCGCGTCTAGACTGCAGGCGGATCTTTTGAAAGAGAAATCCGCTTTTTCGAAAGAGAGCACCCAGTGAGTCTGGATGCTCTCTTTCGAAGACGGCCTCTTTACATTGAAGAACGCCTTCTGTCGAAAGAGGAACTTTCGAAAGAAGGTGTTCTTCCTCGTAAATTGAGGTTTACCGCCATCGAAAGAAAAGCCGCGTTCTTTCAAAATAATTTCGAAAGAACGCGGCTTGAGTCTGGACGCAGGGGAAGTTTTTTCGGGAAAAGGCTACTTTTCCCGAAAAAACCCCTGAGTCTGGACACGGCCATGGATAGGAAGCAATAATGGGTACGGATCCCATAGGGGCACAGACTCTATAAAAAGAACCTTTTCCCTTTCCAGTTTTTCAGTATTTATTTCATAAAAGTTTGATCCGTGTTTTATAACTGATGTTCAATTTGAACTAAAAAAGTGAAATCTCCAATTGTAAGTGACAATATTTTAGACAGACCAACTGTAGGTCAATCTGGTCCACCAAACCACTCATGCAAGAAGTGAGTAAATAATAATTATTTTTAAAAATCTAAAATGTGTATTTTAACCACCAAGACATGGATTTGCCTAACCTGAGTACCTGGATGATCTCCTTACTTTAATCCTGGTCTTCCCCTTCCATCTTGCTGCTACCTATACTAGTCCTAGCTAATAATGGATTATTTTGGGTGGGAAGCTCATTTGTCTTGTAAAATGCACAATGTGCTCCTGACATCTATAAAAATTAAAAAATAGTAGGTGAGGCTTTGCTGAGCTACTCAACAGGAAGGCTGATCAGCTATGCCAATCTGTTATGCAACAGGGTGCAAGCTCACTATTAAGGTTGTGCATTAGAGTGTGAGTTAGATGCAATTAGGGTGTGTATTGCTTTTTGCGTTGGTTGAAGTTGGATGTGAAACTCTTATAGGCCGTGCCAGTGCAACACTGACTGCACTGCAGGCAATGTGAAGGTGGCAAGGAACACAGGTGACTTTTCCCTTCACTTCTTAAGGTTTTATTAAACGTCTTATTTCCTTTTGTCTGAAAGGTTTGAGTTATGCCTGAAAGCAACTTCCAGCAAATGAGGAGAAGCATTGCTGAGGTACCACAGAAGAAGGCTGGTGAAATATGAAACAAAGACAGCAAAGCTAAAGATGCCTACAGGACCTGAGAGTTTAAAAAAAGGGGGAAGGGTAGAAGAAAATTACTATGGTTTTAATTTTTTCTCTTTGTGAGCTACATTATGCATTTGGGAGCATCATTTGAGCAGATAGATATGCAAAGAAAACCCAGTGCAAACTAGGCTACTTGACAGAGTAGACCTGCACAGTGCGGCTCTGTTATTAGATCAGGGTCAATCAAAACATTCTCATTTCAACATCCTCCCCCCAATCTTGCTCCTGCCTGATTTGCAATACAGGCTGAACAAAAACTATAGATCCAAGCATCCCCAGCCTTTTAGACAAGCCAGACTCGGATCTGGAAGTCTGCTTCACATCAGAATGTTCTGGCTTGGGCCCTTTTCTAATTGTTATGCTATTCACATTCCAAAAGCTGAGCAACAGCATAGAGAGGTACAGTGGTGGCACATACCACTGTCCCTTTCCAAACACCAGGCGCCAAGCATCTACTTAGTGTTCCTTTTTGCACAAACACTTCAGCCTCTCACAGATTAAAATTAGAATTCTTTTTCTTGAGAAGCCATGAGTCACAATGTTACCCCTGAGCTGTTATTTAATGGAATAGCTGGTAGATACAGTGCCTTGAAACTGCAGTAACAGCCAGAGCATCAGAAGTATATGCTGCATATTCTAGTGTGGTAATTCGTTCCAGAAATGTTTTTGGAGAACTGTTTATTTAATATACCAAATACCATGTATATATTCATAAAAGTACCAATAGCAATACATTTTGCATGGAGAACTGGACAGCTGAAACACAAATGTTCCAATATGTACATTTGTATTCGTGTTCAGATTTTTCACCATTTTAATCCTTCCAGAAATCACATATTGGGCTGGGAAAAAAACAACCAAGATCAGATCTTCTTTTGGCCTTTTAATTCCTAGGTGCCGGATATATAATAAGTTATTTAGCTCAAGATTTATTTTGGTAGGTAAATTACTTAAGGCATTATAAAACCCCATGAAAAGGATAAACACAAAAACCAGTATTAAGATATGTAACATGGTTAAGGTTCC